TGCAAAGCCAGCGGGTCTGTCTTTTGTACCTGGCTCCGGACGCCTTGGGGCACGAAAGGGAAACCATGCATTTCAGGGTCCTCAACTTTAGGCGCGCCGCCTCTCTTTGGGGAGCGGGACCTACCCTGGTTTCAACCAGCGGTTCAGAGAAAAGCAACTCCCACGAGCAGCCAACCCATTGCTACCTCTTGTCTGCGAGCGGATGCTAGTCCCAAAACCTGACGCAAGCCAGCCCAAAGCCACCCAAGTTTACCCAAGGTCAAGCCTAAACTAAGACAAACAAAGCTATTGCCAAGCGGCGCTCACGCCCCAGCTAGCCCCAAACAAACCGAAAACCAACCCTGACAAAGCTCTAAAACCGTCTAAAGCCCACCCTATTCCTGCCGCAAGAACTCAAAGGGCCTTGAAACCAGCCCTGCAACGCAACATGAAATCAGGGCGAGACTGAGCCCAGTGATGCTAGGGATGTTGGTCCACCCGTGTCATGCCACTATGCCAACCAACCCAACCACCGTCTCAAAAACGAGAGTCAACTCATATGTGCCAAAAACTCATGAAAAAAGGGTACAATGAATTTACTTCCGCTGACCCCTTTCGCGTTTCGAGGGCATTGTTCCCTCAGGTTTGCTTTCGCAGCGGATGCTGCGAAGCACGTGGATCGAAACAAACGTCCGCGTGGCAGACAGTGCATTTCAACAGCGTCCCGGAGCTGAGACCCCCCGTTGACTTCTTAGAGGGCTATGAATTTCAATAAGAGACCCTTTGGTGGACATCGTTTAGGTGGGGATTCATGTCCACCAATCACTTTTGAGGCGGTTCCCTATGAAAATTCATGGCCATAACATCAGTTTATGGCGCTCAGTTGCAGCCTCTCTCCGCCTCTCTCCGCCCAGGCGCTGGCTTCGCAGGCGAATCTGCGGCCGCGACAGCCAAAACGCACAGCACCCAGCGCACCATGCCGTACGAGGCGCGCGCACGAGGCGCGGAGACGGCTGTTTGGGGCTAGCTGAACAGCTGCAGGTCTCCCTTCGAAGGCTCAGGCCAAACAAAAATCCTGGGATCAAGGATAAGGCTTGAAGGTGATGTCAATAGTGGAAATGAGGCCATGGACCTGACTGAAATGATGGGCTGAATACTTGCCAGAGATGCCCGTACCTGGAGTGGGGCCAAGCATGCACCCTGGGGCAAGGCTTAATGACGCCGTAGAAGCCCAATTTGAATCACGCCCTAATGCAGAGCCTTTAGCCGTAAGATCAAGTGGAATGACGTCGGGCAACTCGCCTCAAAGACCCAAACCAGGGGAACCCTCGCCAAACCGCCGGTCCGAAACATTGGGCTACCCTCTGCAGCTGAGGTTTGGTGAGCAAAAACCAGCCACAAAGCTCAAGTCTTAGGCTTCAGTGCTGAGTTGTCTACACGCACCTAGTCTACTAGTACCTTCGCTAAGCAAAATTCGTGAACCTAACGAGCCCCGTAGTCTCCCTGGAAATTCCCAGGAACTCTGAAAACTACCCAAATCCTTTGGATTGGCGGTTTGACCCTATGGCTGCAATCAATACAGGTCAAAGAGTCCTGGGAGCTTCCGTGGCCCCCTGAGCGCCCCGCCACAAGCAGGGCACGAAACGGCGGACTGCTGCTCCGCGCACGCAGAACGCTCCGGTGGCCCGAGCCGACGAGGGGTGGCGCGGCTAGGAGGCGTTCTCGTTGACTGAAGTAAAAGGGCGACTGCCGAGGGAGGGAGGGACATGGGAGCTCGTTGCATTGTTCCTTTCTTGCCATGCACAGGAGCAAACAAGTCCAAAACTACTCATAGTGCAACCAATCATAGCGCCCATTCCTCTGAAAAGAGACAGCTTGTCCCAATCTGCAGGTAGGAGGGTGTCCGGATATGAAACCTCCTTACAAACTGAGGCTGTCATTTAGGCGTGGTGCTTGCCCGATCAACATATCCCGAAAGCAAAAGAGGCGGGAGCTTGACCATCAGGAGAACGCAGAGAATCAGCTAAGGACGTGCAACAAACGAAGAGGACAGTCAATATAAAAACGGCAAGAACGTGTAAGCAAGGTACGGGTGCTGGCAAGCTCAAGAGGGGATCGGCAGACGGCAACCCGGTGTGGGCCCTCCTTTTCCTGAGCATCTAGTGACACAGCCGCTGTTACTGCCCCCGGTGCCGCTTGCTCCGCGGAAAGTGGTTTCACTCGCCACGCGGGGTGGAAAGACAAATATCCTCAAAATAACGCGCCAAGCTAGCCTTGCGCTGCCACAGGACCTACTTCTGCGAAGCTTGGCTAGAGCTGGCCTGTCAGAAAGGAACCTTCTTAAGCTTCTTAGGGCACCAAGTCACTGACGTACAAACCCCGTTGACTGCTGGAACAATGGCTGGCCAAATATGAGGCAGCAAGAGGACTTTACTGGCAAACGGTTGAAGCTGAACAGCTACGTGGCAGCAGCAATGATGACAAACAACAATGACAATAATATAGGAACAAACAACAAGCAATAGTAATAATATGTAATCATAATCATAATACATAATGACAACAATAATAATAAAAATAAGAATAGTAACAATAATAGTAACAACAACAATAATACATTTGCAGTCCAGAAGAGATCCACATGAAACGTGGCCAGGGCAAGGAGTACCAGGCGATGGGAAGATAAGGTCCAGCCGAAACCTCGCGCCGGGATCCAACTGCGAACCCTGCGGTTCAGAGAATTCCCTTGCCCTGGAAGAAAGGAACCCGCACGAAGGGACCCCCTCATGGATAACTGAGGCACCGGTCGGGTGTTTTGATTCTGGCTGCTTTTGAGAAACCCGCTTGCAAGCAAGTCGGCACATGAAACTGTCCGAATGCCCCCGAGTTTGAGCCCTCCAGATCAACAAATTTGACCCGACAGCTTTAAAGAGCTCACCATCTGAACCATCTCAGATGGCTCTTGAGGGGTCCTTACATGTTCCTTGCAAACATCACACCGTTCCAACTTTCTTGGCGTGTTGCGAATTCGAGGCATTTGGAGGGTCCACCCATGCCGAAGGCCAAAATCTCCAATCAACTAACCCTCGTGCGAAAGAAGCTCCACTATTCACGGGTGAGTCAACGCTCCCATGTTCTTGTAAGGTCGCAAGTCCCTCCCCGGCCCAAAAGAACAAACCAAAACTGCCCTAGTGTCTTTGAAGTATTGACCTCCGGCAGACATCACTCCTTACTTCCTCAGAAACTCTTCGAGGCCGCTTTGCCGCCGCCAACATTCCCGGGTGGACGATGTCTTTTTGCACCCGAGCGCATGTGGTTAACGTTTCCCGAGCGCTTCCTTGGTGGGGGGGGGGCTCAAAATCAGCCAAAAAGTTTAAAGTCCTGCAGTGGGTTCCTTAGGTCCCTGGTACCAACTTTCGAGCCTGAATGGAAGCAACCCAGATCAACTTGTTCCGATCTCTCCAAATCTTTGAGTTGATGTCTCTCAATACATCACCGCGATCCCTCGGAAACCCGGCCGAAAAGGTGATGCTGAACAATGTTTAGGGCCGCCAAAAGAACAAAAAGTGGGGAACCCTTGGTGCTTTTTTCTCGTGGGGTTTCCCCCAGCCCATGACCCTTGGGAAGCACACTTCAGAACTAAAATAAATCATGATTTGTTGAAGCAAACCACAAGAAGCCGCCAGAAAACGATGCACCGACAAGTCATCCTCTCAACAGAACTTATGGTTTCATCATTACATCGTGCTGGTTCTCTCATGCCAAATCCTCGCGGCTTCTCTCAGCACACTTTTAGCAGCCCACATTTGTGGCGTGTGTGTTGCGACGCTGTCTGTACAACCTCAGGTCACAACAGCCTGAGATTCAAGAATGGCAGCAAACTAGCCATCGGCAGCTGCTTGGAATTATCTGCCTTCCTCAGCTGATCTTGCGCCTGGCTGCTGTCTCCACGGAGCCCCAGATTCAAGAATGGCAGCAAAAGCACGGTCACTTGCTTGGATGTGCTGGACGTTCCTCAGCTGTTCTAGGTCACAACAGCCACAGATTCAAGAATGGCCACAAAGCAGCGTCAGTTGCTTGGATGTGCACTCCTCAGCTGCTGTTGCACCTGGCTGCTGTCTCCGCCGAAACCTGCACGACCCCAGGTCACAACAGCCTGAGATTCAAGAATGGCAGCAAAAGCACCATCGGCAGCTGCTTGGATGTGCTCGACGTTCCTCAGCTGCTGTTGCACCTGGCTGCTGTCTCCGCCCCATGCTATAGCACCCCAGGTCACAACAGCCCCAGATTCCAGAATGGCAGCAAAAGCACGGTCACTTGCTTGGATGTGCTGGACATTCCTGAGCTGCTGTTGCACCTGGCTGCTGTCTCCACCGCTTTCTGATTCACCCCAGGTCACAACAGCCCCAGATTCAAGAATGGCAGCAAAAGCATAGCTAGTTGCTTGGATGTGCTGGACGTTCCTTAGCTGCTCCTGCACCTGGCTGCTGTCTCCGCCATATTTTGCAACACCCCAGGTCACAACAGCCCCAGATTCCAGAAATGGCAGCAAAAGCATAGCCAGTTGCTTGGATGCGCTGGACGTTTCTAAGCTTCTCTTGCACCTGGCTGCTGTCTCCGCCATATTCTAAAAGACCCCAGGTCACGACAGCCCCAGATTCAACAATGGCAGCAAAAGCCGCCTTAGTTGCTTGGATGTGCTGGACCTTCCTCAGCTGCTCTTGCGCCTGGCTGCTGTCTCCACCGCTTTCTGATGCACCCCAGGTCACAACAGCCCCAGATTCAAGAATGGCAGCAAAAGCACGGTCAGTTGCTTGGATGTGCTGGACGTTCCTTAGCTGCTCTTGCACCCGGCTGCTGTTTCCGCCATACTCTGCAACACCCCAGGTCACAACAGCCCCAGATTCAAGAATGGCAGCAAAAGCAGTTCTAGTTGCTTGGACGTGCTGGACGTTCCTCAGCTTCTCTTGCACCCGGCTGCTGTCTCCGCCGAAGTTAGGATTGCCCCAGGTCACGACAGCCCCAGATTCAACAATGGCTGCAAAAGCGAGGGCATTTGCTTGGATGTGCTGGACGTTCCTCAGCTGCTCCGGGCTGTCTCCACCGGCAGCTGGGTCACCCCAGGTCACAACAGCCCGAGATTCAAGAATGGCTGCAAAAGCAGACTGGTTTGCTTGGACGTGCTGGACGTCCCTCAGCCGCTCTTGCACCTGGCTGCTGTCTCCGCCATAAATTGGCTCACCCCAGCTCACAAGCTCGCCCCCGTGGCTATGAAAAGCGAATGCGGTATGAGTGGCCGCCAGTTTGCCAAGCTGCACAATCGCAGTCACCACGTCCCCATCTCGCAACCGCGCCTCTGCCACCGTGGCCGTCAAATCGAGTTGCTGGCCTTTGGCGATCAGCTTCAGGCGACGCTTGAAATGCTGCTGTGCTGCAGCCTTCAGCTCGCTGATGGGCGCTGCCGGTGAGACTTCTATGGAGCAACCATCTCCACTGGGCAAGTAAACATGCACCTTCATGGCAAAGGTTCCTGTCAGTGTGAGGCACAGTAAATTGCAAACAGGTGTCCCTTGTGACTAGCTGTTTGAAGGAATCCCAACCATTTGAGAGGGTTCACATCCTTGCGTACAACCATGCCCAAAATGACCCGTCATGATTCTTCAACCATCCCCTCAGTGAGGATACGCGAGGCATCTAGGCAACTCTCATCAGCACTTTGCGACTCAAGATCTCGAGCTGAAGCTCAGTCAATGTCAGCAATGAATCGGCAATGACACGAAAAGCACCAATCAGTTTGCAACCGGACCTGCAGAATGAATGGCAGATCGTGGCTTTCCTCTAGAGCCATAATTACCCAACCCGAAAATGGAGGGGGGGGAGAAAAAAAAAAAAAAACGCGATCCTGGCACCAAACCGAAACGATTGGTAGGCCTGATTTCCCAAATATGAACAGCAGGTTCTGTGGCTGCCATCTTCGGGTGCGTCTCTTGAGGCTGGTGCGTTTTCACCTCACCTCGCTCGCTTTGGCAACGTGCGTGAGAACTCCCGTCCGCCTAGGCGCCAAAGAGGAGGCCCTCGTCCTCGGCCTTCTGAATCCTTGCGGCCTTCGAGCGGTTGGCCGATTCCGCGGTGCCGCGGTTCCGCGGGCGGCTTGACCATGGGCCCTGAGAGAACTTTCATCTGATTTAAACAGGAACTCAGTCGTGCCGAAATTGAGCGCCAGGGAAAACATGTGCTTTAAGCTTGGCATTGGCCCAAAGGCACGGGTATTGTCCTTCTCCACTCTCAAGGGATTACAGCTACACCTGGACCGCATTGACGTTTTCGTGGCCGTTGTTCCGCTGTTCTGAAGTTGTTGTCACACATCCGGTCTCAAGTTGCTTTTGGTCCAATGTGGTATGAATCTTAGATTCTGTCTATATGGGTACCATGCTATACAATATATATATATATATAGCTTATATAAGGCTTAAGGCTACTGAACATGGTCCTGTTTCAAAAGATGGCATGTTTTGGTGGGGCAAAAGCTAAGGCTGTTGAGGGGAGATACAGTGGCTGAGTTGTGGTGTCTTTGTGGCATAAATTGGTCTAATGAGCACAGCGCAAGCTTTTCACTTCAAAAACAAATCGAGTTCCATGAGACGTGGTCGAATGGTATGAGCCGCCGCGTCTTCAAAGAAGCAGGAGCCAACTTGCGAATGGATCTGTTGCTTAGTGGTGCGATCATTCGTGGTGCGGCTTGGCCGAAACACAATTTTCAAGGACAAATCGATTGCAGCGATGGGAATACATTGTTTGAATATTGAGTGGACCAGAAACCTGTACCACAAGCAAGCATGCTATGGCTGATTCCCCGGAATATGCTAAGTAGATAACAAGGATGTTCAAGCAAGCACGCAGGGTGGGTTGCTTGCATTGGATTGGAGTCCAGTGTCCAGGCATCCTAAGCTACTTTCCCGTCCACAAGCCTTCCCAACCTCTCCGGACCTCTGACCTTTTAAGTTGACTGCGAAAAAAGTTATTTGTTTTTGGCCGGACGGACATGATGAAGACATTAAGAACAGGCTTAAAGTGCGCCGACTCACCAGTCAAGATGTGAGCCGCGGACAGAATTACTGATTTCCCCAAAATGGGGAAATTGGGCGAACTGGCTTTTGTGGCAAATTTGGGGGCCCAAAACATGTCATTCCCAAACTAGCTATATACTACCAATAATTGTCCTAACCACATACACAAGTGGGTATGTGTCAAATTAGGGGACTCACCTCCCCCCCACCCCCCCCCCCCCCCAACCCCGAAAAACAAAGAAAAAAGAGTTGTATCCCGTTGGCTTCTGCGTGATCCCAAAAAGAGGAGCGAGCCAAACAAGAAGCGATCCACGCCGGACCAGTATGCCCATTGCGTGGGGCTTCGCGACCAACGACCAACGAAGCTCCGATCCCGTTCCGAGGGCGCAGCGGAGATCCGGGGTTCCACCCGCTGCCATTTCACCCGCTCCACGCGGGTCTCCCCGTAGACTTGGACCTCCTCAGGCTGGGCAGGTTCTCACCTTCCCCAAAAGTCCCCCAGCCAGATATAATCCCCAGGTTTCCCAAAGTAAGCCTGGGTGGTTGAACAATGGTATTTCCCGTGAGTTGAATCGCCCAAGGAGGCCCTGAGAACCAAGTAATGTTAAAATCGGACTCCAGACCATACTAATCAGGGTTCCCCTTTTAGTCTGGAAAAAGGCAAAACCCATCATACCCATCTGCTTCAGGTTTCCTCTTGGGGATATCAAAAGTCATTGGCTACTTAGCACCCAGTAAACATTTGCTTAAACAGTCCCCCTTCGGTTCCCCTGCGAAGAAAACAACCATCTTCCTGCTTGATTTGTAAATAGAATCAGAATATGTCTCAAGGCGTGCAGTAGTTAATGCAGGCCGTGAGCAATTCTGCTCAAGTCGCAAGGTTCTCATTGTGGTTCATTCCTCCCTGATGAGACTGTTGACGGACATATCCAGAGAGCCCTCTAAACACTAAAAGCTTACAAGTCTAGGGGCATGGCTGGGAATCGCCAAGTTACGTTCAGCAAGCTTTTGACCAGTTTGGAATCCTTGTGGTTGTTGATAAGGCCTCTGCTTGAGGACAACGGTGCTCCACAAGCCACACATGCCTTGCAATCAATGTCTACTGCACATGGACTTTGCCAGATGTGGCCTTCAGGCCATGCACAAACTGTGCGAAGCAGTCGGCTTTGGGCTGCCCTTGATCTGGCCAAAACATGATGAGCCAACAAATGTCTTCAATTTGTTTCGGTGAATGTTGCTGTGACAACCCCCAGCTTACTCATGGAATCGTAGGGGTGTATGGATAAGGGGGAGGTTCAGTTGGGGTTCTTCCATAGATATGGACGTTGCAAGATTCAGGGTTCCCCCTGTTTCCCCTTACATCACCCTACCAAAAGGAAACCCACTTACTGTAAAATCGGCCCAAAAGGTGACGGTTTAAAACTACCAAAAGAGGAATCCAAGGAACCCAGACCACGGGTTGGCCCGAGGTGCAAAGACGTCCCCGGGCTTCTCGTAACCGTCGAGGCCGATGGTCCAATTCAGCCCCCGTGCGCGGCCGTCGCCCAACTCTGGGCCGACCACCTCACGTGGCGGTGCATGGGGTGGCCTTTTGTTTGTTATAGAATCATTATTCTATAATAGTATTTTGTTTGTTGTAATTGAAGGGTTGTTTAACTGTAATTAGAATTATAGGCCTTTTTTGGGGTGATTGAGGAGGAAGCCGCACACCACCACTGGACCACCATGTTCCAGGTGCCAAAAATATGGAAGAAAACCACCCCCATTTTTGAGGTCCCCTATTTTGAGAAACACCCCCAAGGTCTTAGGTGCATGTAGGATCTCCTGTAGCATATGGATATGTGTCAAGATAGTGGCCGAGAAAAAGGCAATGTCCCTTTGCATTCTTTGTGAACAACCTCAAAAGGGTACCCTCTAAAGCACACACACACACACCTCTATATGTCCCAAGTCCATTGCCATCAAAGCCGTGCGATCAATTTTAAAACCTTTGTCATAGACATTGCAGGCTACGGTTTTTATGAGAGGCCCACGGACTGTTTCGGAACTTTGGTGTCATGGCCCAGACAGCTTCAAACATCTTCAAGCCCGCCCCTTTGGTTGGGTCCCACTTATCTCAAAGAGACGCAGGAAATTGAGCAACAAAAGAGTCAATCAACAAACATGGGGAAGAATGTCATCAGGCTCCCTTGAAACGACTGGCGGTCTTGTTGTTCAAACCAATCTGCCCTGACGCTGACCAGAAGCTTATGCAATCCAGCCATTTTATGCACCGCGTCACCAAACAGCCGGATGTTCAAGGTGCTTCACATGTTGCTACCAAGCCAAACAGGCTTGTCGGCTGTTCTGAAGCGTCCCCATCCTAGAAGCAATACCTCATCTTGCAAGTGTTGACATGATACGCGGCAAGGTTGTGAAGGCACAATTTGCTTCTTGGGTGGTCCTCTCTTTTGCTCACTTCCTGAGTGGTCAGACAAAAATCCAAACTGTTTGCTTACTACTCAACCAATTCTCTCATGCTTATAAAGCAAACAAACTGGCTTTGGTTGGGGCAATCTGAGGCAGCGCAGGACCTTGCGCAAGCGCGAGGGCCACTGATTTGGAAGCGCTTGGAGCACCACATCCAAACCGCGAGCACAATTCGCTAACCGGAGTGCTGGAAAGACGCAGACCTTGATGGGTCTCTGTCTGGGTCTGTGTCCGTGTATGCGTTGATACAAAGGTGTTCATGCTGTCACTTGGCTCCTGACGCATGTGAAGCCAGAGACAGTGCAAGCAACTTGTTTGAGCGAGGTTCTTTGGTGCTGAAGCGCTCTGTGCTGTTTTGGGTTCAACCAAGATGCGTCATCCTTCGCAACATGAAACAGGCCAGCGCGTCTCTTGGCATAAACCATAAGATGGGCAACTTTGCTTTGAACATCCATTGGTCCATGGCAACACCACGATCTGGCCTACCGACCCCAAACTGCCCAAACTGCCCAAACTGCCCAAACTGCCGGTCTGACGGGGTCCTGCCTTTTTGCGGGTCCCGCACTTTAGGAACCCCAACTGTTGAAAATGGGAGTGGTGCGCATTGCTCCCATCCCGACCCCAAAATGGACACCAGCCCCCGTTGGGACTGGGAGGGGGAGTAGACAACCATAGGAGTCTTGCCATCCCGGCGGCAGTATGCGCGACGCTCGAGCGTGCGTTGGCCACCTTGGCATCGGGGAAGTCTCTGGGAAAGCTTGGCCCCATGGTGTTATGGATGCCCTGGAAGATTTAGAGGACTTCAGCCAACCATATCAGGCAGCCCAACCTATGTACAAATGTTTTATCTGACTGTATATGCATCGATAGTTGCATTCATGGGCGAAATATCAAGCTTTTGGGGCCTGGGAATATTAACAAGGCAAGTCAAAATAGAAAGGTGGCATCCCCTTCAAAGCAACTACAGCCGCCTCCCTGATTTCGAAACATTGCCACCTTGAACAGTCGGTCGTTGCCAGAATTTAGAGAATCGCTGGACAACAGGGAATCTACTAGCATCGGAAAGCCAAGTCAGGCCCAACCCACTGCTTCAAAGATGGCCAACAATGAGACTCAAAATAGCCCGATGCTGTGTGAACGAGTGCGGGTTATCATTTTCCAATTTCACTGTATTCGCATTTCACCAACAATGGCCATTATTCGCTTTGTTTGAGGTGTGCCATTTTCCTCAAATGCATCCCTCTGTGAATGAGCCAAGTACCAGCCCCAAGAACAAAAACACGTTCAAATCCTTCAAGATGCCCTTCTACCCAGTTGATTGTTGCACTGCTTCGCCCAATGAACAACCTCATAAGAAAAGGCTCAGCTCTTGGATCCCTCGCCAAACATTGATCAAAACCAAAGCAAACAGTCAAAGGTTGAAACCGTTCGCCAGGGCGTCCCTCATGTGCATGGGGGCATCCCAGCTATCGTGACAAATTGTCCTGTTCCACATGGCGACCACATACTGCCCCATGACCCAGCGAAGGGGCGGAACCTAATGTGCAGCTTAGGGAAGCTCCCGCCTCTGGACCCTCTCCGCACGCAAAGAGTACTGAAAAGATCCGCTTGGTGGTTTTGATATTGAGCCAACAAGATTTGGCACATACCGAAGCACGAAATCCAAGCAGTTGCGATGCATGCAACCCCATGAGACAAACCATCTGCTGGTAGAAGGATTTGCTCCTCCCCAGTTCCTAAGCACCCCCTCATTTCGATGCCCTTACACTCCAAGGAGCCGAAGGGTGGATCACCCGGTTCCAGCTGAAGTCCTATCAAAGGCTTCGGCCGGAGAGGGGGCTGTGTGGCAGTTTTGGTCTGGGTCTGCAAAACGCAAGGAACACAAACCGGTTGGGTCCCCGAAAGGAGATTCCTCTACAGCTTGCTTTTTGGGTACCGTCCCTAAGCTGGGGCCAATCCAATCGGGCAATGTGCTCCCCTTTCCGAGTGCTCATTGAAGCATAGACCAAGCGCCAAGCGGAGCACATGGTCCTTTTGCCACCTTTGAGCCAAGTTGTCTGAAAAGGGACAGCCCAAAGTTGGACAACTGTCTACATCCGCATGTTACCACGTCCTCATGTGCCAGGGTCAAAACTCGGTCATGGTTCCCTTAGTAAGGATCCTTATCACGGTTCTCTAAGCCCTCTAAAGCCATCCCTTCCAACCCAAAGTAAGCACGTTGTCCGATTGACCAAAGCACTCCAACAAGTACCACGCTGGCTGACATGGCCCCATTTATGTTGCTGTCCTGCTAGTGCTGCCGCTGCTGCTGCGACAAGTGCTACACATGCAGTCTAGAAAATCAGGTTTGCTTTGGAAAACTTTGATACGAGAGTACAGCATAGGTTCCTTCTATTGGAAACACGCTTGCAGGACCACCCCCCTCCAGTTGGATGCTCCACCGCTCTACTCCTCACCCCATGTCCCTTTGACCTCCCTTTAGCAAGCCAAAATATGGTGCCCGCAAAAAAAAAGAGACGCTGAAGCCAAGTGTGGAGTTCACCTGTTGCTCTCTTCTTTCAGCGCGCTTTTTATGCAACTAACATTAGTGCTGTCAGAATAATTACAAGCTCAGCTGCTCTTGCACCTGGCTGCTGTCTCCTCCGTATTCTGGGTCACCCCAGGTCACAACGGCGCCAGATTCAAGAATGGCAGCAAAAGCAGCCATGGTTGCTTGAATGCAGTGTACATTCCTCAGCTGCTCTTGGACCTGGCTGCTGTCTCCTCCATATTCTGGATCACCCCAGGTCACAGCAGCACCAGATTCAAGAATGGCAGCAAAAGCACCGTCAGTTTTTTGGATGCAGTGTACGTTCCTCAGCTGCTCTTGCATCTGGCTGCTGTCTCCGCCACATTCTGGATCACCCCAGGTCACAACAGCCCCAGATTCAAGAATGGCTGCAAAAGCACGGCGAGTTGCTTGGATGCGCTGGACGTTCCTCAGCTGCTCTTGCACATGGCTGCTGTCTCCACCGCATCCTGGATCACCCCAGGTCACAACAGCCCCAGATTCAAGAATCGCAGCAAAAGCACGGCTAGTCGCTTGGATGTGCTGGACGTTCCTTAGCTGCTCTTGCACCTGGCTGCTGTCTCCGCCGCATGCTGCAAAACCCCAGCTCACAACAGCCCCAGATTCAAGAATGGCAGCAAAAGCACCACAAGCAGTTGCTTGGATGTGCAGAACGTTCGACAGCTGCTCTTGCACATGGCTGCTGTCTCCACCGCATCCTGGATCACCCCAGGTCACTACAGCCCCAGATTCAAGAATGGCAGCAAAAGTACGGCCAGTTGCTTGGATCCGCTGGACGTTCCTCAACTGCTCTTGCACCTGGCGGCTGTCTCCTCCATATTTTGGATCACCCCAGGTCACGACAGCGCCAGATTCAAGAATGGCAACAAAAGCACCCACACCTGGTGCTTGGATGCACTGAATGTTCCTCAGCTGCTCCTGTACCTGGCTGCTGTCGCCGCCGTCACCTGGATCACCCCAGGCCACAGCAGCCCCAGATTCAAGAATGGCAGCAAAAGCACTGTCAGCAGCTTGGATGCGCTGTACGTTTCCCAGCTGCTCTTGTACCTCGCTGCTGTCTCCGCCATATGCTGGATCACCCCAGGTTACAACAGCTCCAGATTCAACGATGGCAGCAAAAGCACGGCCAGTTGCTTGGATGTGCTGAACATTCCTGAGCTTCTCTTCCACCTGGCTGCTGTCTCCGCCCCACTCCGGATTACCCCAGGTCACAACCTCGCCCCCGTGGCCATGCCAAGCGAAAGCAGCATCAGAGGCAGCCAGTTTGCCAAGCTGCACAACCGCAGCCACGCCCTCTCCATCTCGCAAGCCGGCCTCGCATAGCGTGGCTGTCAAATCGAGCTGCTGGCCTTTCGCACTGAGCTGCAAGCGGCGCCGGAAATGCTGCTGCGCTGCAGCCTTCAGCTCGCTGACGGACGTCTCCGGTGAGACGTCTACGGAGTAGCCATCTCCACTGGGCAAGTGAACATCCACCTTCATGGCGCAGAAAAGTTGTTCTGGATGTGTTCGAGCTTCCAAAAGAGAAACTGAGGCATCACCAAAGAAGTTGCGGGCGGAAATATGTACCGACATTTAATAGACCGTGAATGACAACTGTCTATTGCAGAAGAAGGCTAAGAAGTTCATAAACAAGAGCCTTTGGCCATCTGGCTGGTTTGTGGCCAAGGCGATATATTGTCAAGCACTCATGCACAACAGAAGCAGAGTGGGGGATCGACTGGTGGTTTAGGCTTGCTTGCGGCTTGGCATACGGCTTGGCAGATGTTTGTTGGGTTCGTCAAGCCTTCGCGAAGCCTTTTCGAGACCTCCGCCAAGCAGGTCTAAGTGGATGCTCAAGGCTCACTTAGATGGTCTGGGAGTAAGCTGCATAGTTCATGGCTGTTCACAAGGTTCACAGGGGGGGTAACTGGGAGCTAACTGGGGGTTCACCAAGCACCCTCCTTCTGTTTGCGAAAAATGAATTCGGACCAAAGGACTCCCTGCCAAAGGGAGCTGAGTCCCTTGGTTTTGCCGGGTTTCGGCTTGCTGTCCTCCAGCAGCTGGAAGGACTCTTTGCCCTGGGCGCCCAGCCGCACGAAGAAGTGGAAGCAGCTGCCGGCCCAGGGCAGCTCCCGCATGCGGGAGCCGCCTAAGAAAACCAGCGGAGAGACGGGGAGAGACGGGGAGGTCAAGAAATGGGGGGACCCACTTGGATGGACGAGTGGGACTAATGGCGTGAAAAGGCCAGGTCAACGACAACTCTTTGTTCTTTTGTGGGTGGTGGAAGGAAGGTGAGCTGACTTCTGGTGCTTCGATCTTGGGGAAGGAGCAGCTGTTGCTCGTGCTTGCCGCTGAGAATGTATACCTTGCCCCGTCATCCAGCTACCCCTACAAAAGGACAAATGGGATATTGTCATGTGAAATCCACACCTCAAAATTCCTGGTGAGCTACTGTAGCGGTAAGTGGACATTGACTCAATCAGTTCGAATAGTAGGTGGCCTGTTATTGACCACAAATCTGCGCAAAGCACATTGCCCTGGCAAGGCAATGCAATCTTGTCATATCGTATCCGTGTCCCAGGGAACCTCCTTGAACGCTCCATAACCCCGGAGCAGCCACTCGCCCCCTGCCCACCTCCCACCTCCCAGCTGCCACCCGCCCGCTGCCCTGCCTGCGCCGGGGTCCCAGGTGCCGAAGGCGGAAAGCCGCAGGCGGCCCAGCTGCCTCACCTGGTCCTCGCTCAGCTCCTCGCATTGCCGACGGAGCCGGGGATCCGAAGATCCGAAGATCCGAGTTGGGGAGAGGGCGGGTGTTTGAGGAAAACAAGGAACGAGGAGGGGGATTGACTCGCAACAATGGGGAGGTAGATCTAAAATGCGCCCTCCAAAGAAACATTGGCCCACATCCGAAATCGGTTTATCTCCTTTTGCTTGATC